CAGGGACACCTTCCACCAGACCAGGCTGCTTAAAGCCCCTTCCAGCCTGGCCTTTCAACACTTACGCACTGTTCTCTGCTGGGTTGGGTTTGGTTTTTTTTGTTTGTTTTGTTGTTTTGGTGTGTGGGGGGGGCAATTTGTTTTCTTCTTCATAAAATTTGTGTCAACTTGTACAACTTCAGTTAAATTTGGCAAAGGGTTAGGGATATTAATGGTCTTCACTGGAATTGAAAGATGCCAGGCAGGAGGAATGGATTTGGACTGCCAAACAATCTGCTCACGCATACTTTATTTCCTTAGGAAACCAGACTGGAAAAAAGCATTCACAGGGCTGGACAGTAAAAGGAAACAGGCCAGCACAGGAAAAGGGAGGCAATGTTGTATAATTGGCAACATTAAGACTGGAGTCAACAAAGGGTGGAAGAATTAACAAAAATTGACATTTCCAAAATACATGGGAAATTCCACAATTAGGTAGCAGGAGGACTGTACTTCTCTAAAAGTTAAGTGTGGGTTGTAACAGGTATTTATCACCATAGTAAGCAGGTTGGGGCTACCTGGGTGTGGGTATCTCCCAAGATGTATACAAGCACTAACTTGTTAAACCTGCCAGTCTACTGTTTTAGTAGCAATATCACAGGAATGCTGTTTCTTTGAAAAGGGAGCACAAAGGGCAGACAAGTTACTTGATTCTGCAATGTAAGTTCAGAGAGTTGGTTGAGGGAAATGGTAAAACTTGCTGTTCTTTCATGTTCTTCTTCCAAAGAAAACATCTTAAATAAAATATTGGATCTGCCTGGTGGGAGTATGGCTCCACAGACAATTATCTGCGTCATTTTGTTGTTTCCCTGACATTAATATTTTGCAACTCACATAGTTTCCTACCACAAGGTTTTGTAAAGGGGATAAGTAGATAAAGGGAGAGTGGTTGCAGATGCATTTCTGTATGGCCAGGCAGTTTGGACATAGCTTCTGGGTAGGTCTACCTGAATGTTATCCTAATGTTATATAATGACTTAAACCCCAATCACTTATAAGATCACTTCAGAACTGCGAAACTCTTTGGTGCAGGTTCATTGAGTATATGGATAGGTTGTCCAGGGAGGCTGTAGAGTTACCATCCTTGCAAGTTACTGAGATCTGAACGGAGAAAACCCTGAGTAACCTGGTCTGAAACCAATACTGACTGTGATTTGAGCAGGAGATTAGTTACTAGAGACCTCCTGAGTTCCCTTTCAGCCTGAATTGTAACTCTGTGTATTATTTTCTTGCAGTTGTCACATTTATTTAAAACTTGAAGCTGCCAATGATACAAAACATCAGATGTTCTTGAACATTTGGCAACTTTGACTCAGTGGGTTTTGTGACTATGAATTTCTGGAAACTTGCACTGCCTAACAGCACAGGCAGGAGTCCTCAAATTAGAGCCATTGGGTAACTCCACCACTGAAGCAGTAGTTATCATAAACCCAGTGGGGTTTGGGGTTTTTTCCACTGTATTGTAAAGGTGCTAGGTTTTGTGATTCCAGATAGTAAATTACTGACATGTATTGAATGGTTCAATATCTGAACAGAAAGTAGAAATCCAAGGCATACCTCAACACTTCTTATTTTTAACCACAGTCTAGTTTGGGAAAAGTTGTCCTATTATTTTTTGAGGTTGGTCCTGACAATACTATGCTTCCCTGCTGTCAGAAATGAGAAGAAATTTGACATATGCTTCTGGCCTTGACAGAGGCTGGCATGCACCCATTCCCAGGGTAGCAGTGCAGAGTGTCTAGTCTGCTGTCTGAGATAGTCTCTGCTGGCAGTTGATGCAGCTTTTGATCATTCTGAAACAGTCTTCAAATATCTTTTATCAGGTGGCATAATACAAATTGCGTGCAGTGTAGCTGCACTAGCTAACGAACCTATTTACCTGTGACTGCACTTCAAATGATGTTTTCAGATTATTCAAGTAGATGTTTTCCTTTTGTGCAAACAAAATATCCTAGTCCCATTTATCAAAGGAAGAGGAGAATGTGATCAGGATAGAATTTGTTTGCAGGTAGAGCATTATGTCTTTCAAACAAACCATGGGTTTCAATGAAGAAATAAATGCAGGCATTTAATTTCCCAGTATGAATATTAACCAAGACATCGACTGTTCCTGTTTTGTATTATACTCTTGAGAGCATGCATTTCTTGGCTCCTTGAAACTAGTGGTTTTGTTGATTTGGGGTTTTTTTTGGTGGGTGTTGTGGTTGTTTTTTTGGGGGAGGTTTTTTTTTTTGTTTGTTTGTTTGTTTTGTTTACTTTGTTTTGTCTTTTTCTTATGTGTCCTTATGGAGAGCACCCTTTTTCCAAACAAGTGTGAGTACAATAATGTAGAATCAGCCTAAGGAAAAGGCAGTGACGCATGCAGATATATTGCACGTGGAACACCTATTCCAAATTCTCATTACAGCTTCACAGTCATGAATAAACAAAGTCTTGCAATTACCCTCAGCTAATGTTACCCTGACAACAGTATATATAACAAAATTCAATAATCACTGCCAACAACCCCCCCAATACAAGTAATGCTTCTGTTTCCCAGTATGAAATACTTCCATTAAGTATTAAATCAACTCCAAAGAGTAAGTCCTACTTTTAATACTGGGAGCAAAACCAATCAGTAAAGTGTAATTATTCATTCCAGTATATGGAGAGAAGTTGGCTTTGAGTTCCCTCTTCATAAAGTAGTGATTCATAAAAGGAGAAGCTGGAGCTTTTTACCAGCTTTATGGTGTATCACTGTGGGCATATCAATCCCTTGGCATCATTTGAGCAAGCACAGTGAACACAGCTCTCTGATACTTTATGTTGCAAGTTTCTGCTTACTCATTTTTGACAGTTCTGCGTATGTTACTGATCTGGATACTAGAGGGTTGAGGAAAGCAACCTTCTGGCACGGGAGCAGGAAAGCAAATGGGAAATATTTTTTTACTTAACTTACTAAGAGGTAAAAATTGTTCAATCCAGTACTTAAAAGCAGTAGGTCACATCCTGGTGTAAAGAGGGTCCTACTCCAAGATGCCAATAAAGTAAATATTAGTTTAAATGAAGTATTGGTGTGTTGCCTTCTTTGAGCTCTGATCTGCTGCATAACCTCTGTTGTTATGTCTGTGATTACAAGATTCTGTGGATATTGGGTTTTATTCCCAAATTTTACTTCCTTTTAAGGAATCTTGGATGCCTTGACAAAGACTTGAAGGGTTTGTTTCCATTTCAGAGAAAGCCCCAACCAATTCAAAATTTTTCTGTACATTTGAATATTCATGTTTGGTGTTCAGCCTGCCAAGAGAGATATCACTGAATGTGCAGTGTTTCTGAACACCTGCTAAACTCAAAAAGCCAGTATGAGTTAAGTGCACAATTAGCTTGTCAAAATCGTAACTTCCTTTTAGGGAGGGTATACTTTTTTTTCCCCATTTACATCTATTAAACTGTTTAATTTTAACATGTAGTACTTCAGTTGACCAATTGAAATGGGAAAACCAGGACCAACCTGGGACTCTGGCATTTTTTTGAAGGAAAATGGTAGCAGTTGTTCAGTATTTCTGCCCAGCTGAAATGAGTAATTTAGTAGAAAATCCAGTAGTCTTGTTCTCAAGTTTTGTACTTTGGATAGACAAGAAACATGCAGTGAAAGGGGTGTTACTTGTGGGGAAACCTTTTCAATAATACCTCTCCTAAGTAGTACAAAGAAGCGGTGTGCCTACTCTTCAGTACACCAATTTATTCTTTTTATTAGTTGTTATATGAATTTTGAAGTCTGTAATCTCCAGTTCAGACTTCCATATCTACTGTGTGTTTGTAAAATTTGGTTTCTTTTTGTTAATGTCTGAAATACATTGTCAAGGCAATGACCCCTTTTGTAGGAAGTCTGTTTGGCTTATAACTCATTAGCTTAACGATAATGTAAGGTGAGTAAAATGGGAGTCTGGGTTAAATTACAGGTTGTATTTCTATGATGTTTTATTCAGTTGCAAATGGGAAAAGATGTGTTTTTAAAAACTGAATCTTTTTAGTTTAATAATGTTTGTGAAGAAGAGCCATCTTTTTTTTTGTGCTAAATTAGATGCATAAGCAGCCCCTTTATAGGCACCACACTTGCTTTTGTGCAGTTTAGCTTGCACCACTGTTTTTTCTTACTGATTTGGTCTTCATAATTAGAGTAATGAATTGTAATAAATGTTGTGTATAAACAGTAATTCTCATCCTGTGATGTGATAGAAATAAATAAAATATTCTGAAAGGGAACTGGAGAGGACAAGATTGAGATCTATAGGTACAGTGGAATTCATCAACCACGTAGTTTGAGAAATATCCTGAATCCAGTGGGACCATTGAAACAAAGTATGTGTGGATTAGTTAATTGCTGGACATCCATTAGGTTGCAGCCCCTCAGTACTTACTGAGATCTAGTGATTGTTGCTTAACAGAAAAGATAGTTCAAAGTAAAAATCTTAAGTTAGCCACGTATTTTGTAGAAAATTGTTTTGTTGCTATCGAATAGAGACAGTTATCTCTTGAGAATGGGTTGTTAAAGCTTTAGAAGGTACTAGCTGAAATAATCAAAAGTAAAGCTGAATTCTGCTTAAGAGAAGAATTATTCCAGTGTCTGAAGGATAGGACAGATTTTGTCTAGGGTTTACCCATAATAAATCAACTCTCTCTCTTTCATATGGTCCTTCACTGAATCACAAAACCCTAAAGAAAGGGGAAGGGGGGAGAGAAATCCTTTTGAAAGACTACTTTGCTCTCTATTTGATGGCAGCAAGGCAGAACCAAATATAGGATTGAATTAAAAAAAAAAATAATAATAGTGTAGGGTTTTTTTCTTGTCATAGTTCTGCTAGTACTTGAAGAACTGCTGTTGTACTGTGTACGCAATGAATGCTTTTGACCTCTAGTTTATGCATTATTTTGGCTTAAATTATTTCTCTTTAATAATTGGTTTTTTTTCCCTTAAACAGCAAGACCATTTACAAAATTGGTAAAGGAAATGCAGCTCCATCGAGACGACTTTGAAATTATCAAAGTGATTGGAAGAGGTGCATTTGGTGAGGTAAGAGATTCTTACTCACTTGTAGTAATGTAACTGTAATTGTTTGTGCAAATGATTTCTTGCTACAGTTAACCTCTTCTTATACTAAAAACAAAAGATTCACACAGATGTGTCAGAATACTTCTAAATGTGGGATGTACGTAGGTACTAGTGAAAGATCCCCTTGAAGAAGGGTATTAGTGCCCAGATCTGCTATTTGTGTGACTGGATTATTCTTACTTCAGTGTAGCAAAACAAGTATCTCTTCAATGTCTGTATGGCCCGGGTGGTCCCACCTAGCAGCTGCACAGCTGAATTTGGGATCTCTTCTCCCACTTGCCATATGTACTCTTCTGTGCTGCTGTAGGTTAACACAGAACTGGGCTGCTTCTATGGTGGGAATGCAGAGGCTGCTCCACCCATCTGCCTGTCTTTGTAGCAATCTGGTAATGCAGAAAGACGCATTTGGCTGCCTCAAAGGCTGTTCCCTGTCATCTTTGAAGATCAAAGGCTGCTGGATCTGTTTTTGGGCAGCAAGTTGAATCATGCTGGGATGATAGGAACGCCTTGTGTTTTGACAACTCGCCAGTTGCAGGACCCTGGACTGAAGCTTTATTTCTTAATATGCTTGATGTAAGTCTCTTCAGACACAGAAGTCTGATAGGGCTTGCCGCTGGCAAAGGCATTTATGAACGTGTCCTCTCCACTAGGCATAGGATACCTGAGACTTCTGGAGAACCTTAAAGTCAACCCTTTCAGCATTTAAGTGCATGTAACTAAAGCCACAGATGTTAGCAAAAGAGGTTATTAACCAGAGAATTTCTAGAAGTAAAGAACACTCCTTAGATTTCTTTCAGGGAGCTTCTTTTAAGTAGTGCCACACCAAAGTCAAATGTAGTGACAGCCATTAGCTGCTCACTTCAGCCTGTTAGCACTTGGTTACAACTTCTGCTGCCAGTGGCTAAGGCTAGGTAGGCTTACTCGTCTTCCTCTGGTGGTGTCTGCAGAAAGAGCAGGACATGTGCAGTGCAGGGCTTTCCTTCCAAGCATGGTGTGCCCTGGACATTTCAGGGTATTTCACATAGGGTCTGATTATGAAACAAAGGTGTAGACAGAAAAATGTCAGGACTCTGCTCAACCTAGGTTCAGAAAGCAATGACATTTCTGTGTACATAAGCACTTGATAGTGGGTGAAGTAGCTGCATAATTCTAAGCTGTTTCAGAAAATGCTTTTGAGGAAAGCAGACACCTATGACAGAAATTAGTGTTTCAAGAACATTTCTTCATCTGAACCATCATCTAATTATATGATGCATAGTGAGCATAGCTGCTGAAGGAACTTGAGCATTTTAGGTAAAATGTCCAGATAAATACTAACATCTTGACATGTAAGACACAAATTTGCTTTCTTGTGGTTGTTGAACTTGGTGAGTTGCAACTTCCCCCTTCCCCACTCCACATACCCCTCCCCCCACCCCCCCCCAAAAAAAAAAAAGGAAAAAGGAAGTGTTATCTTAGGGTAGGGGAAATACTGCATGAAAATCAGCTAAAAACAAACACTTCAGTGGTGTTTTTTTTAGCTGTTGTGTATTATTTGAATACAGCTTTTAGAGCAAAAAAGTTACTGCAAAGAGTTTGGCAGGAAAAAGCAGAAATGGGAAAAAATAGTTAAGGAATGGCTGAAAGCTACAAATTAAGTCTAGAAAAGGGGTCTGAGCAGGGAGGTTTATGAGTAGGTAAAAGGCGTAGAGAACCAAGGCAGTAGTAGGTAACAGTCTACCTCTTCATTAGGGTTCTGATTCAAAGCAGTAGCACATTTTTTAAGACAGTGCCGCCACTTACTGCAGAATGATTTTGTGTGTATGAGCTCGATTTCCTTTGGAAGAAACTAAACCAGAATCTCCATTCCAGGTGTGCACCAAATGTGCTCCTGGCCCCAAGGAATACTTAAGGATCAGTCACTGGGTTTGGCTCTTCTGACAGCTTCAGAACATCTAGGTTAGGTCCAGGAGACCAGCCTAGGTACAGTCTGAAGCAACAGTCCTGAACACCACACGGTATAGTTGTGAAGGCTCAACACAGGCTACTTTCATCTGATGTTCTGGTCTTGCTGCACCAAATTACTTGCTGTAGTGGCTGTGACCACTGATATCTAAAGAATGATAGACTGGTGTTTTGGCAGTGTGTCTTTTGATGGGATTAGAAGTGGTTTCTGGATTTTTTTCAGAACTAGAATCATAGAATAGTTAGGGTTGGAAAGGACCTTAAGATCATCAAGTTCCAACCCCACTGCCATGGGCAGGGACACCTCACACTAAACCATATCACCCAAGGCCTCATCCAACCTGGCCTTGAACACTGCCAGGGATGGAGCATTCACAGCCTTCTTGGGCAACCCATTCCAGTGCCTCACCACTCTAACAGGAAAGAATTTCCTCCTTATATCCAATCTAAACTTTCCCTGTTTAAGTTTTAACCCATTACCCCTTGTCCTATCACTACAGTCCCTAATGAAGAGTCCCTCCCCAGCATCTGTCTAGGCCCCCTTCAGATACTGGAAGGCTGCTATGAGGTCTCCATGCAGCCTTCTCTTCTCCAGGCTGAACAGCCCCAACTTTCTCAGCCAATCCTCATATGGGAGGTGCTCCAGTCCCCTGATCATTCTTGTGTCCCTCCTCTGGACTTGTTCCAACAGATCCATGTCCTTTTTATGTTGAGGACACCAGAACTGTACAGCTATCAAAAATTGGGAACCCTTTATAGTGACTTTCAGATGCAGTCAGTGTTGGGAATGCCTTCACACACTATAACTTTAGGGAAGGGCCATTTTCCATAGTACTTGCTCTGCTCTTTTTCCAGTAGGTGTTTTCCACTTAAGGAATTGACCAACTGGAAATCTCAGTACAGCAGCAGATGAAGTATTTGTAAGAACTCTAAGAGGTTTCAGTTTATATGTGCTAAGGGGGAAAGATATGACCTTTCTTGGCTTTGGATCAAGAGTCTTAAGGGGTATAATAGATACAAATTCTGGGTGGAAACTCATATTGATAGTGTCTGGAGTGCCTGAATCAACAATGTGTTTCATATTCTTCCATTTGGAAGAGCATGGAGCTTAACTAAAGCAATTCATATATCACATCCACACCAGTGGAAATGAAATTTCACAGAAGTTGAATGAGAAAGTATCTGAATTTCATCCTTCTGTTAGAGCTGTGAGTGCTCGCAAAGTCAGTGGTGTTAGATATCTGTCAATATCATGTTATCCTGTTCATATTTCAATTTAAAAGTGTTAGTTTATAATTGCAGCAGCTTGAAACTTTTTTATCAGTTTAAAAATTATTTATCATTGATTTTTTTAAGTTCATTATCTTTTAATCCCACTTGCCAGAGAGTATTTTATGCTTTTTGCTTATGAATGAATCCTTTGACCCTTTGGTATCCTACATTGCTACAACTGCCAAATATTACAAGCATTTTAAAATAGCAATTATATAAAGGTTGACATTTCATATGAAACTAAAATCTAGTTTCTTGAGGGACTTGGGGCATCTGATTTGTTTAAAGCAACACTTTAGAAAACTGAATGGGGAAGCTGTAAATAATTTTTCCATACAATGTTCATACATACATAGGAACTATGTTAGAAGTTAGTTGACAGGATACTAGTAGTTATAAGGTTATTCATTAGCTCTTGTTAAAAACAAACAAAAAATCAAACAATAGAAAATATGACCGAAACACAAATATCTGCTAGAAAAAAACTTCAAAAATACCTATAGAATATCTGTGAGAATGCATAAATAAATTAATCAGAATTATATTAAACATATTGCTATTAGAATTAAGTAGTTCAAATTAAATGCGGAACAGCTGAACAAGCAAGTCTTCAAAAAGGGTGGAAACTGCATTCCGTTCTCAGTTTAGCTTCTTTGGACTTTTTGGAGGGTGCCAGAGGCTTTCATCTTACCGAAGAACTTTTGCATAAGTTGTATGTTTAATGGCAGACAGCTTAAACAAACTAGTGTTGTGATATTAGTTATTAGTTTGTATCGCTGGTTATTTTTTGCAGCATAACATGCAAGCCAAAGAAACAATGCTGTTTGACCAGAGAGAAAATTGAAAGCACGTGCAAGCTTATACCCATGAACACAACTGCAAAATCAGTGTCTAATTTAAGGCTGATTGATATAATCACCAGCGCATATCTGTACTGGCATGTTAGTGCCTTTTTCTTCCTTTCTCCTTTTCAAACCAGCAGAACTCAACCTGGTTCTTTACACTTTTTTTTCAGCAATAAGGGAAGAAAGCCCTACTGGTAATCCAAAACTACCTGAGTGAAAGTTCTTATAGTGCAGGAGATAGGAGAAAGCAAGAGAAAAAATGTTTCTTAACTTCTCATAATTATGCTAGGACAGAAATAGCCTAGCTCAGATCCTAGAGATTTCTTCTGTAGCCACCTGCCAAAAGATGCAGGTCTCCCTTTTCTTATGAACTAAGCCAGCCACTTTGCATGCAGGATAAACTGAATGTCTGAATATCCTTTACAGCAGTATTTAAAGCTCTGACTTCTGGAGTCACTGCCTTGAGAACATAATTTATTTTTTTCAGAAGTTTCATAGTTATGAAGTTCAAAATTTGAAATATTATTTCAATGCATGACAGAATAGCATGTAACCTGAAATGTTAGCTGTAAGAAGGATAAACTACTCTGTGGCTCTTCACCCTCTACTAGGATGTATTTGCCTGGCTGTCTACCCAGCTGGGTGGAACATTTTAATGAGTGCCCCAATGTTACTTTCAGGTTTTTGGGTTTTGGGTTTTGTTTTTTGGTTTTCTTACAGGTCATATAGGCAGATAGCTCATGTGCAAAGGGGCAATCTCCATGAGGAATAAAGCTACTAACGATTTAAAAGCACCCTGAAATAAAATCAGAACTAAATGGTTTTCTGTAATCTTCATTCTGGTTTCTGTTAATAAAATTAATGTAGAAGTCTCTTTGTAGACAAGAATGAGTATGTTGT